GTCACTGCAGTCGTCTGGTAAAAGGACAGTACCAATAAATATAAACGGATGGCAAACGGTAGTCATGGTTAAATTGGAGCCATAGATAAAAGCTATGGCTGAGAAGAACAAGCATCCTAGATACCATCTCAAATTACTGGAACCTATGCAACAATCCAACCTATAATATAAAATACGGTCTGTATCATTGCATAAAATAAATATTATTATCTGCGTAAACTAAAGATGTACCATTTACAATGATATTCCCTATTCAGAATGCACGTCTGACACATTCTACAGTGATGAGCTTTCGGAGGTGCTCTCCTTCTACACGTAATGCAAAGTTCCCCGCTTCCTTCTCCAAGTTCTAAACCTTGAGTCAAAGAACTTTCTTGCGCTGCAAAGTCTGCGTTCAGTCTACTCTTGTAGCCACAGAATATGCCTCCCACCACACAAAGTATAAACACTAAATTCTCTTCTGGCAAGATCTCTAATAGTGGTACGACGCTGACTTCAAAGATCAACATCAACATGATAACACTTGTAATAGTCCACATTAAAAAGAATTTCGTACGTAGCAGAAATCTCAGGAAATTGTGGTGCAGATAGTACACCAGCAACGGGGTAGTGATGAATATAATTAAAGTGCATAGAACTGTTTGTGCAGCTATAACCGCCAATGTTGGAACCGCAAAGATCGGTATTATGGCATCGACTGAAATTTGCTTAGCACCGGATCTCCAGCCACAGGGATTCCGCAGTCTCTCCCACACGGTCATTTCTTATCGATAAGCTATCGAAAGAATCTACTTAAACTTTCATAGAGTATCAGGAAACAACATAAAGTTTACGGAGGTTAAACACACTCCACGGATTATGCGAACATACGAGCTATCCGTGAGTTTTCAGTCTAACGATCCTGAAAAATATCAGGCGTAAGAACAGAGGGCACCATTTAAAGTACTCGATTCTTATTCAACTGACAGTTGCCAAATATTCGGTCGGTGCCAACGAAAATGTTTTTCGTCAACGAGCCATTGTTTCAATGAAAATCAATACCCATTGGAAGGAGATATTCTCGTGCCAACAACGTTAAACACCGGACAGTCCTGTATGGGAAAGAATCGGTTAAGAGCGCATAGTACTTCACTCGTTCCGTCTTCGTCATTTCCGCGAACGATTTCTTACTGTCCACCAAAACGAACGAAAAATATCACGAGTGCGCGGCTCGGTGTACTTTGAAAGTGGCGCAAATTCGTGGGGAGGGTGGAGAATAACAGTTCCCGTTTACCAGTGTCCAATCACCGATGATTGCACGCGTTTCTTACAGTACGAAAGGAACAATGGTGCCGATGTTGTTATTCCGATTATGGAAAAACGTGACGCAACGTTACTGATTCCGCCATCGGATTCAATTCAGGCGACACAGTTCAGGTAATGGACGATTCGTGAACGAACGGGCTTGCGGTGTTCCCCGAAAAGGCATTGCCATCTTGTTTCTACGTGCCTCGTCTTCTACCCGTGTGACATTCGATACAATCTCGTCGCGCATGAGATCATAGAGGTGAACGCTAGTGGCGGGAAACGTGACGCGAATTGAAAACACGCTCAGCTACGGCCAGGGAAAAAGTTTCAACGATAGAAAAAAAGAAAGACCGGCTATCTTAATAATCAACTGTGTACCCAGAGGGCCGAAGGTCAACTGTTATCTCGGCTCGCTGTTTGTTGCGGGGACTGTATCGTTCTTGAATCGAGTTCTGAAAAATTCGAAAAATTCGTCAACGCCACGGTTAGGGGCGCTCTTCCGGCGGAATCGATTGATCGATTATTCAATCGTACGGGGATTAGAGATAATCGTTTCGAACAGTTTAAATCTGGATATAAAAATCAATGCTAAGATACTGCCTAATCTCTACCGTCGATAAGGAAACTAACGAAATGTAACGACGATGATGCCACCGGAACGTGGGAGGTCTAGAACATCGGATGTTCGATTATCTATCGATTAATCGATCGGTATCCGTGTATACAAACATACGTTACGATTATCATTGTTTTCTCGGTAAAATAAAATCGATACTTAATTCTGAGCAACGAACAGATTATTATAATTATTTAGTTTACAATTTACGGAACATCGATGTCAATTGTTCAAACGAATTCGATCAGAAAATATCGAAATCCTTGCACTCGACTACAAAGGATTCCATTAAAAATACGAAGGTAATTAAAATTCTCTTTGTCGAATCGAATCATTAGCATACTAATGACGAATATATAAATATTCAAATATTACCGTTAGAACGATCACGTCGGACGATCGGCGAGAAAAATCGGTTGCTTCTCCGCGTCCACCGATGCGACTTATCACTCCGGAGGGATCTAACGAACACTTTTCTTCGCGCGGCGCCGTTTATCGCGCACGTTACCGTTCGCTTTCGTTTTTTCTCTTCCGCCGCCGCGGCACGAGGGAAATATCGGCCCCGGTTTTTCGCGGGAAACGGTTTTCGCGCCGTAGACGCGCACCGAACGCTCATTATCGCGCGTCGTCGTGCCGAGCTGTTGCTAATTAAAGAAACAACAACGGAGTGGAAACTCCATTAAGATAATCGCTTGCGCGCGGAGGCGCACAATAACGAGCGACCACTGCACCGAGTCAAAGATTGATCGGCAATTACGGCCGCGCGCCTCAAACTGAATGTTTTCAATTGTTTGCACGTGTTCGGCCGGTTATCGTTGTTTGTCAGAAACCCGGAGGCTGTTGTTCGCGGCGGGTGGTTGAAGCTCGGCTAACCGATAATTCCGGTCCGTCGATCACGCGCGGATAATTCAATTATCCGGCGGTTCCCAGCTACAGGCGGTCCCCGGAAACGCGCGAAACGGGAAGATCGCCGTTGCGAAAGTTGGGGAAACGATAAAAACGCATTATCGTTTATGATGCAAAAATCCGAGAGCTTGCGTGCATCTTGCCGTTGACCTGCTCGGTGCGATACTCGATAGATGACCTCTGAAACTAGAGTTAGAACCGATGGGATCCGCGGATCCTTTCAACCCTTTGTCTCGCAATTGAGTCAAACGTCTACGACAGATCCTAAATTTGAATTTAAGGAACTGGAATATTTGCAGTACCCTATTCTGATATCTTCTATTAGTTAAATTTTTAATCATTCCTGCTAGAAAATCGTTCATCGTGTAACAATTCAATCGGTTGATCGAACAAAGATCCGCTCGATTCGCTGCACAGCGTATGCAGTTTCCCTGGCGATAGCGGCGTAAATTTCACAATGGCGCCTGCCGTCGTTACGAAATCCTGCGGAATCGGAATTATTATACAACACGCGCCGCGGGTGATTTACACGCCTTACGTTTTACAGGGAGATAAAATGCTCGGCGAACGCGAGCCACACGCGTGTCCCGACGATTTTAGAATTACGGTCGGTGTTCTCCGCCATCTTGATCGGCCGGAGTCCTGGACAGAGTCTAGGCTCCCCGAGATACGAATCTTGCGAACACTTATTTGGTTTGACAAGCGCACAATTAAATCCGATACCTAACAGCGGCCCCGCTGTTCGTAAACTGTGGTCTACGTGACCGCCGGCACGGCTGTTCGACTGACTAATTGCATACCTGTTAAAGACACCCCTATGAGCAGGATCAAGCAACGGTACACGGACAGAGACAACCCTCGGATAACACGGGACTGGACTTACACTCGAATACTACGGTCGGAGATTGCAACCGAATAATTAACTGTATACGATAGTTAAAAATTCACGAACTCCAAAAACGCGTTAAATTTGCGTCACTTCTAGACGTTCAAAGAGGAAAATGGCTAACTATATTTCTTTAACTATCCTGAAATTCTAGTGGCACGTTTAACCCTTTGCGGACGAAGATTTCTTGAAATACACGAAATCTTCAGCAGATGAAGCTAAATTATCTCTGTTACTTAAATGACAGGAAAAACAGAAACTATACGCTGATTTCTTGGTGTTCGAGCGATTAAATCATTTGTTTGCGACTCAGTCTTCCAAATATGAACGTTCCATCCTGCCGAAATGTCGACATTCGTCCGCAAAGAGTTAAACATTGTGTAGTTCACGGCTCGGCGAAAAGTCTCGTGCGACAGGGAACCAATTAACCCTTTGCACTGGAAAGTTTTTCACTAGAAATATTCAACGTTTCCCGATAAGATATGGTCGACGTTCTTTGAAGCTAATAATAGAACACATATAAATGAGGAAACAAAGCTATTTTGCACACATCGACGCGCTGCGGAGCTTAATATCACGCTTCCTTTCCTCGCGCGCTCCGGTCCGAAGGGTTGACGGTGTCGTTCGACGGCGAACAATATTTACTCACGCGCGGCGATTCTTTGATTTGCAGTTCGTCCACCTTCCCGCGGGATTCCCCGTGCCCCCCCTGATTTTATTCACCGGTTGCGGTTCACGGGGGTGGCAGTCCGGGGGTGCGTGAATCATAAGTTTCCTCGAGCAGCCGATTGGAGGGGCCAGCGCCGACCCATCGGGGGCTCGTCTCTCCGTCCTATCGTCCCCCTTCCTTCGTACGCGGCGGTCGTGTACGCGGACAGTCCAGCGAGGGAATCCCGGTGCCGAACACTCATCGCGGAGTGCAGCCTTGCGGCCGTTTGTCACCGCTTCCGATCGTATCTCGGCGCGCGTCCGACGGTTCCGAGAGAAATTTGATTCGCGATCGAAAGCGACTCGACTCGGTTCGCGCGGAACGTCGGTCGAACGGCAGTTACCTCTAGACGGTTCGTTCCACGGGACTTCGCAGAGTTCGTGCGTCGCAACGGAAAGGGAGAAGAACGATCTAGTGGTTCGCACGAAGTGAAGGTTCTCGAGTGGCGGTTGTTCCTTGATAATTCCACCCTTGAGACCTGCTAAGGTTCTCGTGTTGCGAAAGAAGCCGAGGACACCATCGATGGCTTCATGAAGACAAAGTGTGGGGACCAAACGGCGGCCGTCCGACGGTTCGGCCCGGTTAGCCCGCGTGCATCACGTGCAACCTCCCCGGTAATCGGCCCGATTCCGAGTGCGATCGTTTATCTGGGAAAAAGCCCCCCTCCGTGTGGTGCTCCGTTCGGGAAACGAGTCGCGCGAGGATCAATGACCACCGTTAGTTCTCCCGGTCGGTGTTGGCTAAAAAGTCGTAACAGAAGGAGCTCGTAAATCACTGTCGCCGTTGACCGGAACGATAGCCGATCACTCGGCGAGGTCGTGATCCCCTGAGCAACCGCCTCGCTCGGAGTCGTCCGTTAAACGTGCTTTTTTCGCACGTTCGAGAAGCTTAGATTATCAGACGGTGGTCTAGCCGAGCAGCTAGCTGGCTGGCTAGCTGGCCAGCGCAGCGAGGGCATTGACAGTGCCCGCTCGCGTTCGTCCTTCCCGGTGGAATCGCCGCGAGCAGGGATCCGCGGTCCGTCCGGCGCTGTTGGTTCCTCTCCGATGGCGTAAGAAAGAATCGGACGGTCCGAGCTGATAAGGAGACACGCAGCAAAGGCGTCGCGCGGAGGAAGACTCAGCTGATAACGAGCTGCCTACTCGCGGACTCCGGGTTCCGGCCGTCGCGCGCCAACGACTACCGACGAATTGTGTCACCACGTAGCCAGTAGCCGAGTAGCCGCGACGATGACGGCGGCG